GGGAGGGAGGGAAGGGTTGAGGGAGGGGTGTGTGACTTGAACCTCACTAAGCGCTGTACCCCCCAAGCAGCTGCCCTGACCTAAAAGGCTGATCTCTTTTCTCCACTAGCACCATGGTCACCCTGGGCCCTTACCCCGCTGACCTTGCAAAGCAGGTGAGTCTTTCCTCGGCCTTCCATGGGCCTGAAGGACTGGCCAGCAGACCCCGAGTTGTTGATGACCAGGGAGTCAAAGGCTCACTCACCTGCTGCCACTCAGCTCCTCTTGCCAGGACCCCCCATGCCCATTGCGGTGGGGGAGCACCCAGGACTTAAACAGCTCTATTTCATTCTTTCATACACTTAACATTTGCTGAGTACCTGCTACGTGCCCACCTGTCTTAGGTACTTGGGATGGGTGGGTGAACAAAACAAAGGTCCCTGCCCCCGCAGAACTCACTTTATAGCAGGGTCAGGGCAGGTAATAATCAATGAGCCCAGTAAGTAAATTACATGTTATGTAAGCAGGAAATAATGCTGTGGGAAAGCAGAGGAGGGGACAGGGGTGAGAGTGCAGGGGGGTTAATATTAAAAAGGTCAGGGAAGGCCTCATTGAGAAGGCGAGTGTTTGAGCACAGAGCAGAGGCGGGGAGGGCGGAGCTGTGGGGATATGGTGAAAGAGGAGACCAGAGGCCCAAGCCAGGGGTGTCCTGATGGTTCAGGAAACAGTAGGTGCCAGGGTGGCTGGAGCAGAGAGGGTGACGGGAGGTCAGAGAGTGGGTGAGGCCAGACCCATCAAGGCCTTCCAGTTGGGGGCTGGCTTTTACCAAGTGACATGAAAGCCCTGGAGGAGCAGACTGGAGGGGCCAGAGTGGAGGAAGGAAGGCCACCCCACAGGCTTATAGACTGATGCAGAGGGCTGATGAGGCTTGGGCACATGGTGGCAGTGGTGGCAGGTGCAGGATGTTCTGAAAGTAGAGCTGACATCCTAATGGAAAGGATGTGGAAAAGCCCTGCTGGGGTGGCTCAGCGTATGAGCATCGACCTATGATCCAGGAGATCTGGGTTCGATTCCCAGTTAGGGCACATGCCCCAGTTGTGGGCGTGCAGGAGGCAGCCAAACAATTACTCTCTCATCATTGATGTTTCTATCTTCCTCTCTCTGAAATCAGAAAAGAAAGGAAGAAGGAAGGAAGGAAGGAAGGAAGGAAGGAAGGAAGGAANAGGGAGAGCAAGAGGAGCATCCAGGAAGACACCAGGATTTGGAAGAATACCTCCTTCTCTACAGGTTAAAAACAGCCTCTTTTAGGAGACAATTCCATTTGTGCCCCCAGCAGGGCTGTGGGTCCCCTCTCTGGGTTCCACAGGCACCCACATGCTGCAGTGTGGGGTTTCAGCTCTACTGTGACTGGTCTGGGCCATTCCTGTTAATGAGTCCACAGGGTGGGGCACATGGTCTCTTCCCCCAGGGGCTATTCCTGTGCCTACATTGGAAGGCTTTTCTCTGCCCCCACCTGTCTGAGGGAGACTCAGACCATCCCTTTCCACCCTGGGGACATCCCATCCCCCTCCACTTTCATAGGACTGCAAGCCTCGTGTTCAAGCCCTACTTGGGGAAAGCTGAAAGATGGAAAAACTACAAAAGGATTGACCAAGAACATGTACAGAAAACACTTCAAAATATCATGCCTGTTATATCAGGTCTTGCTCCAGCCTTACTTGCATAGACCCCCAGGGTTGAAAGGTCTTAAAGATTGCCTTCCCAGGTCAGGAAATCCCTTCCCAGACATCCTCAGTCACCTAGACCAGGGCTGCCATGTTCGGTTGGACAGGATGTGTACCCACTTCACAGACATGAATATGTTTATGACAGTCTCCCAACAGATGGAAAAGTGTGTCTTGAAGAAAGGGAGTCTTAATGAATGTGTGCAACTTAGATCCAGAGGCCAGGCCCCCCAGGTGACAGGAATAGTAAGAGCAAAGCACAGAAGCAGGCATGCGCAGGGTAGACCAGCCTGGCTGCAGGGGAGCAATGGGGATAGAAGTGGAAAGGAGGAGGAAAGAGAGCGGGG